TAGCTGTCACCTTAGGCAAGTTATTTAGCCTCTTTCCCCCCTAATTTTCTCATCTGTAAAATGGCAGGTAATAGGAGAACCTACCTCATAGAGTTGTTTGGAAGAGTGGTGAGATAGCACATGTAATTTGCTTAGAATATTACATAAGAAGCATTCAGTAAATGTCAGATGTCATTATCCCTTGGAGCCAGGAGCAGAAAGAGAAGGCCTGGGAATCAGGAGTCTTGGCTCTAATCTCAGAAGTGAACTACAGGCTGTGTGACCTTGAACTAGTCAATTCTCTCTGGGCTCCAATTTCCTATGCCACGTCTCTCCTGAAGATGTGGACCATATTGATGATTTTTGAACTTCAGTGTTTGTGGCAAGCTGGAAAATGGTCCGTCAAAGACACCAGGTCCTAATCTTTGGAATCTTTAAATGTTACCTTATTGGGGAAAAGGGTCTTTGCAGATACGATTAAGTCAAGGATCATGAGATGGGGATCTTAGCCTGAAATTCACAAGTATCGTCATAAGAGGAAGATTTGAAAACAGACAAAAGAGAATGTGATTAGAGAGGCAGAGATTGGAGACAGCCTGCCACAGGCTGAGGATCACTGGCAGCCATCAGAACCTGGAAGAGGCAAGGAACGATTCTCCTCTAGAGCATCTGGAAGGGATGTGGCGCTGCCAACACCTCGACTGCAGCTCAGTGAAACTGGCTCAACACTTCTGCCTGCAGAACTGTGAGAGAATATAGCTCTGTTGTTTTAAGTACCACACTTGTGGTCATCTGTTACAGCAGCCACAGGAGACTACTGCAGTGTGCATATGAGTTCCTGGGGGCCCTTGCTTAACATGCTGATTCCGTCATAGGCCCACCACTGTCTCCCACCCCTGTCTCCATCAAAAAAGAGTTCTCCCACCCCTGTCTCCATCAAAAAAGAGATAAGACCCAGGAATCTGCAGCTTTTAAACCACTACGCCAGAGATGATCTAATGCAGAGGTCCAAGGAACACACTCGGAGAAGCTCTGGACCAGCCGACCTCCAGCTGTGACCTTCTAAGCCAGGGACAGTGCATATATTAAGCACTTAGCTAGATGGGCAGGTCTGAGCAGCAGAAAGAAGGGTCTGCTCCCCAGATGTCCAGAAAAAAATGTGTTTTCCCAGGTTTTATCAGAAATCCAAGGCCAAGATGACTTTCAGAGGCTCAAGCTAGCCTCAGAAGGACTTGGGAGGGCCCCTGCCCCCTTGGGGACCCTCCCTTCATTCCCTCAACACGACTTTTCACTTGATTCAATGTCTACCCACTACTAAGCTCATCTAGTGTCACATTTTCACCAGCCCACAAAGCTGACCCTGGTCTCACTTGAGTGGCCCCATTCTCCCCTAAAACCACAACCACAACTGTATTTGATCAGCACAGAATCTCCTTAAAGTACACTGGATTCCGGGAGAAACCTAGCAACTCTCTGTGGAGAAGGAAAGGAAATATTTATATTTACTTTTGAATCTACTGCCTGCTTATCTGAAGCTGAGATTAATGTCCATGAGCAATCTGACTCTACCCAGAGTGGTCATTTCAAACACAAATCTGACCATGTCACTACCAAGCTTAAAAACGCCCAGTGGCTGCTCACTGCTCTTAGGAGGAGAATGAGGGAGTTTTCACATGGCCCGTAAGCCCCCGCGCAGTCTGGCCCTGCTCCCTCTCCACCTCATCCCCAGACCTCTCTTCTCTCTCTGTTCTCCCCTCCTAGCTTTCTCTCCCTTCTTGGAATGTCATGCTCTTTCCCTCCTCGGGGACACCTGCTGTGCCCTTCACCTGAAATGCTCTTCTCCCCACCTCCGGCCCCCCTGCTCATCCTTCAGACCTGGGTGCCCCAGGAAGGCTTTCTGGACACTCCCCCCTCAATACTAAGCCATTCCCCTCTTATATACTCACAGCAACCTGCAAGACCCTGCCCAGCACTGATTCCTGCAACCATTTAACTAATGCCCCTCCACCCCACCAGGCTCTGTTCTCCACCAGGACAACTGCCCATGTTTGTCTTGCTCATTGTTGTATCCCTGGATCTTAGAAAGCTCCTGGAACATATGGTAGTAGGATCTCAATAAATATGTATTGCATGAATAAACACCCATGGGTATAAGATGTCCAGTGGTTAGATAAATGTACACCAGGTATAATGCACCTGACACCTTCAGGCAGCGTCATTAGTTAATCAACAAGGATCTCATGGGATTGTTTTCCCTGGCTCTGTTTCTCTCCTACACCTCCCTAAAATGTTCCTTTAGATTGACCAAAATGAGCAAGCCCTTCCTCCATCCAATCACAGAATAAGTGCATCTAGTAGTTTTCCTTCTCCAAAGGGAGCTCCTTTGGGGTTGGCAATCTCTAGCCCACCCCTCCTGTCTAAATGACCTCACTCCCACATCCGGATGCTGCACAAACAAACCCTTCCTCATGTGGGCCAGCAGGTCTGAGCCGCTGCAAATAGAGCCCTCTTGTACCCAGTCATGAAAAGAACAGCAGGGGGAGTCAGCGGCCTCTGCTCCCCAGCCCCTCATGAGCAGACAGCAAATGTCTACCTGCTATCCAGCAGGTACCCAGGAGGAAGCAGCCTGTGCCCGCTGTCTCTGTCCACCTGGACAGATGTCTCTCCAGCCTCGCACCCCAGACACCTGCAAGAGCCAGCACCAGCTCCCTGCCAGAAAGCCTCAGGATCCATTGCAGAGGCTGCTGAGGCTGTGCACACACGTGCCTGATGTGCCTGGCAGCACCTATATAATAAGGACACTTCTGGGCAAAAAGCCCAGGTGAATGCCACTCCCTCCTCTGTGCAGCAGAGCCAGAAAGCTGAGCTTTACCTACAGACCGCTCCTCCTCAGCAAAAAGGACCTAGCCTGCGTTACCCCTCAGCAAGGAAGATAAATCACCCTGGTTGCACCCAGGAGCCCGAGTGTGCTTTTCAGACAATTAAAGTTTGCAAAGCTTCTTGCCTTGCATAACTATAACTTAGGGAAAGGGACGGGTGAAAGCTGGCAGCAGAATTCTCTCTCCTGGGCCTTCCAATTTCAGAATGCTAAAGCAAACTGGTTGGATCCAGTGTCAGGAGTATTACAGTTCTCACGCATTGCTGTGGGAATGTAAAGTGGTGCAGCTGTTTTGGAAAACAGTCAGACAGTTCCTCAAAATACCAAATGTAGAGTTACATAGTAACTCTGAGCAACATTCTACTTCAGGGAATTGAAAAAGAATTGCAAACACATGTCTGCACAAAAAGTTGTATATAAATGCCCATAGAAGCATTCTTCGTAATAGTCAAAAAGTGGAAACAATCCAAATACCCATCAATGGATGAATGGATAAACAAAATGTGTATATGCAAACAATAGAACATTATTCAGCCATAAAAAGGAGTGAAATACTGTTACATGCTACAACATGGATGAACCTTGAAAACATGCAAAGTAAAAGAAGACGGTCACAGAAGGTCACACATTGTATGGTTGCAATTATATGACATGCCCAGAATTGGCAAACCCATAGAGACAGAAAGTAGATTAATAGTTGTCAGGGACTGGGCATAGAGGGGAAGTGGGACTGACTGCTGATAAGTACAAGGTTTCTTCTGGGGAAGATGAGAATATAATGGAATTAGATAGTGATGATGGTTATGCTGCTAAAAATCGCTTTCAATGTACATATTAAAATGGCAAATTTCATGCTATGTGAATTATATCTCAATAAAAAAATTAAGTGAAAAATGGTATTACAGAGGGGAAGGACTGTTATGGTCCAAGCGTTCACTGGTGGTCTCTAAGGAAAAGATTGGCTTCCTGTCTGTCCTGGACATCAAATGCCCTATACGTGCTAAAAAGTTCTGGAGCAGTAAGAACAAACCCTATCTAGCCAGCCCTGAGAAAACAAAGGTTGGAAGGATCAGAATGTGTGGGTTCATCCCTCCCCGGACCTGTGGGGTCACTCACTGTGTCTTGGGATCCCACCCCA